TGCTGTACTGGAGAATTCCTTAGGTCGTGCAGTCATCCTGCCACCGTAGCACACCGCTCCTAGAAGCTCATAAGGCTCTATTATGTGCATTATATTTTGCTCTGTTCTATTCTATTCTTTTCTATTTTCTATTTTACACTATGTCAGTCAAGAGAGATTGAGTTCAGGCAGGGCTGCCCTTCAGCACGGCAATGAGCAGGCCCAGTTCCCGAGCTGGTGTGCATAGGCTTGCAAGTCACAGCCAGTTCGCAAACAGCATCAATGTCGGTAGTCCGGATGTTCATGACATAAATGAATCTACACATATGTACACATTTTCACATATATATATACATATACATACATACACACACGCACACACCGTATATGTATACATATACACATACATACATGGACATGTACGTCAATGTATGTGGCCCCGGCTTAAGCCGCTTCCGCCAGGTCGCTGCGCAGGAGCCAAGTGATCCCTGGACAGCTCTGCAGGCTCATTTCGTATGTCGGCGTCTGGGTTCAAGTCTTGCATTTTCGTCAGGGGCACTGGCGTGTCCGGGGCTTAAAGTTGGAGCTTGCTTCACAGCTTGAGCAGGCTTGACCTGGAAAGACTTACCTGTAGGTTAAGCCTAGCAAGTGCACAGTTGGTTCGCACACGGAGGGCCTTTCTGTCACAAGCTTGGCTACCGTCATGGCAATGCTGCACGCGTGAGACTAACTCCCTGCGGAGATGCAGCGCACGGCTGGGGCTTTTTCAGTTTCAGCCTCGAGTATATAAGCTTTGACTGAGTTCTGCACCTTAAATGGCACCTCGCTGTCAAGCCCTGCAGCTTTCAAAATCGGTGGAAATGGTGGTTGCGAAAGATCAAGGTCAGACAGGCTATGGAATGAGGAGCAACCTCCGTCTTGGCTAGCCCCAACAGCAATAGTGCACATGCTTGACACCAGCAACAGTAGTCATGACAATGTTCTCACCGCTTCTACTACTCCTAGCAGAACAGTACTGGTACCACGGTCGATATGACTAGGAGGCGCATATCAACCATCACAGCAGCAATGCAGAGAAGAACAATGACCGGCCCCAACACTGGTACTGGAGATACCTGGCACCCTAAACCCTTTCAAACCCGAAACTTCCAACACCTAGCACCAGATGCCAGACAAAGAAACATCCTTGCCGTGTTGCCGCTTGAAGCCATGACCCATGAACCTCTCAGTCCATTGGATGTGGCTCCTGGTGACTGGACCGACAATTGCAGCACTGCCATTTTCGATTCGATACTGATAGGTGCTCTTGGTACATACCAGTGCCTTTGTTTGAGTATTCCCGTGATTGTTGCTCTGTTTATGCTGTTTATGATTGTCCGCAAATGATTTCTGAAAGACCTTCTCCACGAGCAGGATATCGATTTGTGCGATGCTTGCGGGTGAGGCTTGATCCCTGCCCACACTAGCTCAGGCCTTTCAACATGCCGTGGCTGTGTATTCCTGCACTCCCATGACCGAAAGTCTCGAGTCCGGAGCGGCGAATTGAGCCACTCCATCCAAGGCTGTGGCTCTCGGTGTGGTCTTCTGGCCCGGCCCTTGCAGCTCCCTTCCCCAGCGACTCTGGCTCGCGAAAGAGCCTTCGCTGCCTCACTGCTTAGTTGGAGCCCCCACTTTTTAAGCCTCAGAAAGCCCCTTAGCCCTAAACCGAAAGAGGCTCCTACTGGGGTTTGGGGATGCCTTCACTATAGGACGGCTCGAGTGCTTATACTTCGAAGTGACGGTCGTGGTGGCACAAGCAAATCTAGAACTGACACCGACGCCACCACATCGACATGAACGGGAGCCCATTGCCAACATCAGCAACACAAACAGCAACATCAAGAGCAACAGTAACAACAACAACAACAACAACACCAACACCAACACCAACACCAACACCAACACCAACAACAGCACCAGCACCAACACCAGCAGCAGCAGTAGCCGCAGCACCAGCAGCCGCAGACGCAGCGACAGCGGCAGCGGCAGCAGCAACAGCAACGGCCAGAACTGCAGACACACCAACAGCAATAGCAATAATAGCTTTAGCAACAGCAATGGCAATTGCCGCAAACAACAACGACAATGTCAACAACCGCAACGACAACGACACCAGCACCACCACCGCCACCACCACCACCACCACCACCGCCAGCGCCAGTGCCAGCACCAGCACCAGCACCAGCACCACCAGCACCAGCACCAGCACCAGCACCACCACCACCACCACCAGCAGCAGCACCACCACCACCACCAGCAGCACCACCACGACCACCACCACCACCACAACACCACCACAACACCACGACAACAGCACCACCACCACCACCGCCACCGCCACCACCACCACCACCATGCACCACCACCACCACCACCACCACCACCAGGTACAGGTCACCACCGCCGCAACACCACCACAACACCACCA